ATCAGGGACACCAGAGTAGGGCCTTTGGGTAGCTTAGGGTGACAATGATGGTATTTAGGAGCACAGTGATAGCAGTTTAAATGGAGAAACATGTCAGGATAAAGGCTTTATTTTTGGAGGTTGAATTGCCAGGGCTTGCTCACAAATTAAATGAAAAAGATGAGTGATATAGAAACAAGGATAAATCCCAAATATTTGGCTCATTACAGTTGGGTAAAGCTGTTTACTCAAATGAGAATGATTGGATGATCAATACATTTGGGTTAGATGGGAATAAAGTTATCTTTGAGGTATTTAATGTTATGATATCTATTAGATATTCTAGATTTAAGAAAGTTAAGTAAGCAGCTAACTATGCAAGTTTGGAGCTCAGGGGAGAGATTGAAATTCTTTATATTAATCCAGTTGTCATCAGAACATATAGCTGTATCAGAGCAAAATGTGGAGTAGAGCGGTTGGTATAAAAAGTTCTAAGTTTCTACTCTTTTTTTAAAACTCACAAATTCATATTTTGCAATCTTAGAGGTGGCTTGTCTTTTTTGGGCACGTGATTCCTTCTTTAAAAAAATAAGCATTTTTAAGAATGTTTATTAGATGATTTTCAAGTTCAGCATTTTATATCTATGTGATTTCTACTCACAAGTTACTGTTTATGTCAAGAAACATTTCTTTTACCAACTATGAAGGAATTCTGCTCTTGGAAAAAGCGGAGGTTGCAGTGAGCCGAGATCATGCCACTGCAGTCCAGCCTGGTGACAGAGCAAGAATCTGTCTCAAAAAAAAAAAAAAAATGTACATATGATAGTTTCCATGAAAACTCAGGGTTATGTTAGTATTAGAGGCTTTCTCTAACTTGCTAATTATGGAAAGTTATATTCTAGTAAATTAACACTCAGTTTGTCTGGTCTTTGGCTGCAACAGTAATAACTGTCTCTTATTTTCAAAACTGCTATGATTTTTGTCTTATTTCCCTTTCCAAAATCCTTCCTCTTTGCTGTCACCTATTAATATCATATTTAAATGGCCCCTGGATTTGGCATCACTGCGGTCATTATTGACCTTAACAAGACATTTTGGTTAAATGGTGTGGAGGAAAGCCTAGTTGGCTGGATTCTAAAGAGAATGTGAATAGAGAAATGAAGACAGTGAAAAGTGATAACTCAAGGAGTTTGATTGTGAAGAGAGGTATGGAATGGTGTGGGTTGGGGAGGAGGTCAAGGAAAGTTTTATTTAAGATGGATGACATTGCTGGAAGTATACTGGTGAGGACATTTCAGCAGAGAGGGGATATGTGTGATGGAGGGCAGAGTGGATAATTGCAGGAGTGGAAGGGATCCAGGGTATAAGCCAAGGAGTTGACTGAGATAGGAGTATAGACATTTCATTCACTGTAACAGCAGGAGAGGGGGATGGGATTGCTTAATAAATGTGCTGGTAGCAGGAGGCTGTTTCTTTTCTGATGCTTCCATTTTTTAAATGAGATGAGACACAAAGGTGTCATCAGGGAGTGAGGAAAAGGGGGGAATGTTAGAGATTTGAAGGCAGGGGATGTAGTATGAAATAGTGAGAGTAAATTAACTAGAAAAGTGGAATAGGGTTGCCAGGCGGCACTGAGACCTCATTGGAGGGTGTAGTCATGAATTTGGAGAACACTCAGCATGATCATAATTTGTTTCTTTCCTAGCTCATTCAGCTGCTTGGGTTTAGCAGAAATTTAGTGTTGACCAAGGTTAGAAGTCTTATTTGTCCAGTGAAACCCATACTGAAAGGGGTAGGAGCACTGATGGTAATATAAATGAGTGGTTTTTAATGATGAAGTGTGGAACCTAGTCCATCAAGAAGGGAAGTTAGCAAATGAAGGGGACAATATGTAGCGATAATGTGGCTTGGAAAACCCACTAGAATGAGGAATGTTTGTGATCAGAATATTCTGAGGATGAGCCAGAAGAAAGGAATGATGTTTGAAATTGAGATTTAGAGGAATGTAGTGTTACTGATAATGATCAGAACTCACTAAGTAAGGTCATAATGTTGGGAAATGAGGTAGAGTGGAGGACAAGACCATTGGAGGTTAGGAGGTGAAGACACTGAGAGGCCATGATGTGGCCAGGGATAGGAAGGAGAAGAATCACAACAGAAGAGTCATTTTACTTGGTGGATGATATTTGTGCCTTCCTCTTAGTTACTATTTCCTGTAATGTCAGACATCTAGAAGCTAGCTAGGGTTCAAAGTCATGTCCCCTCATTCCCACCCCACTTTCCCCAGTAAGCAGGGACTTCTGACATGGCATTTCCTGGACACTGGCTCTCTGGCTTACCTTTGATCCAGCACTCAGTTCCTATTCCATGACCACACATCCCATATAGTTCTTCTGCTATGCTCAAGAGGCACTTACTGGCAGATCTTTTGAACACCTCTCTAGGTACCTACTTGACCCCTTAGTATCATTGGTCCACCAGCTGTACTGAGCAATTTCCCATTAACTTTTCAGCTATGATATGTCAGTGAGAGGGAGAGTTTCTACAGCTCAGTGAGCATTTGTCCAGTCTTCTTACAGATAGTTTCTCTCATGGGCGCCTGCAGCCTCCTTCACCTGGCTAATATCTTTTCTCACATAAATCCCTTTTCCCCACAAGCTCCCTTCACCTGCTGTTATTTGTAGTCAGAGATATGAGTAAGGGTTGCAGCACTGACTGATAGTTCCTCTCGCTCTCCGAATAATGAATGGATATTTGTTACCCGGTGTCATTATTCTTGACATCCCAGCCAAAACTAGGAATTTTTCTTTAATACCTTGCTTCTTTTCTATGCTTGTTGCATATTCTCTCTTAAACAGCTAACTAAACGGGATCCTACAACTTTGTAGTCAAAATTTAGGATGATTATATTGTCTTTTTTCTCCAGAATCTCAGCAGTGTCCAAAGTATTATGTATTAAAGACAAGAAGAGCTTATTAGTACTCAGAATTGGGACAAAAGTCCTGCAAATAGTTTCCTAAAATATACTTAAAGTCATCTAAACCACTATGAAATGAATGTCCTCCTTCTCCTGACTGCCCAGTAACAGTGGCTGTTAGATGGTAGGCACAAAGAAAATTCATATTCAAATTTCTTCATTTTGATATGAGTTTTGTTTGATATATATGTTTTCTTAGCCTGATCATGTCTGATTTATGCTTGATGATATTTAGGTCTTATATGTGTTTTTCCTAAGTTATATTTTATTTCTCTAGATTCTTACTCTTCACCAAAATATATTACAAATTGTATGATGCTCTTTAACAGTATCTTTCAGCACTTTACTCTGCTTCTCAAACTTCACTAGCCTTTTGGTGACTTAGATGCGCTGGTCTCCTTTTCCAATCCAAGATCCCCACACACCCTGCCTTCTACCAGAAATGCTTTCCACTCTTATTTCCACCCCTGCTTCTCACCCCTCTCACAAGTAACTAACTCCTATCTATCCTTCATCCTTTGTGTCTAAACCTAAACATAACACTTCCTCAGCCTGACTTTCTTAACAATCCCCATTTCCACTGCTATGCCAAGCATTATATGCTTTTACAACACCTTGTGTTTCTTTTTTCAAAGCATTTAGCACACTTCAAAATGAGAATAAGTATCGGATGCCTTTTTTAGACACTCACTATAAGCTCCATGAGGGCAGAACAGTGGCTATTTTTCTAATGCTTAGCATGGTGTCTTGAACATAGTTGGCACTCAGTAAATATTTGTTGGAAAAATGAATGAAAACCCCTAATAAATCTACCTGTAGTGAAAGTGAAGGGCTTTGTTAGTGTGTTCAGGGCCATTTGAGGTTGTATGGACTGCAGAAAAGTCTGTAAGCCTAAAGATGCTGAGGTGTCCATCAAAGTCTGAGTACTTAAGTATTCACATTTTAAAACACATATTTTGTAATTATGTGTGAGTAGGAGGTAAGCATGAATTTGACAAATAAAAATCTGCATTCATGTTTATGGTGCTAGTATTGTAAGTGTGCTGCTAGTTATTACAATAATTGGCATGTTGCTTACATAGACACTGACTTAGCAGAAAACTAGCAACTCTTAAAAACACAGTTTAAGATCTACAGTTGATTTAGTCCACAGGGCCATTGTCAAATAAAACAAATGGCCAATGTAAGGTGAAATAATCTTAAAACTTTTTCCACATTTATTAAGCTTTCATCTTATGATATTTTGCTATTGTTTAAGTTAAGCATATTGTCAGTTAACTTTTAAAATCAGTAAGCAGTTAATTGATTGACTTCTGAAGGTTGGGTTCAATCTAATTTATAAAATAAATAATGATTTTTAAATTAATTTCCTTATTTTCTATTATTTAATTTCCATTGAGTCTGTCATAAAACATTTTGTTAAATTTAAAAAAAACATATACCTTTTTAAAGTTCAGAATATCAAAATGAGTATTTCTGTGTCCTACAAATAGATATAAGAAGGCGCTTTATCATTTGACTATGATTACTCTGTATAGGTACAAGAAAATTAGATAGACAAAGACTATGAGCATTTGTATTCTGGCTTTTATAGCATTTAACGTTTGTTGAAAAATGATATTGACAACGCTTTTTTATTACCCCCTTTTATCTTTTGAGAAAAGTATTATTACCTGGTTCAGCTTTCAAAACCTGTCCTTTTGAAAGTTTCAGGATTTCCATGGAACTTTTTTTCCATGGAAAAAAAAAGTTTAACTTTTTCTACACCGTGTTCTAACTGCATTAAAGAGTGATCCATTAAGAAAAAAAAAAACCCAACACTTAAAGACCTTATTCCCTGCCTACCAGACTTACAATATGGGATGATGGTACTACTTCAGATTTAGTATTACTGAGGAAGCTTGTTGCCTACAAGTTCATTCTGAAATTTATGTTCAATGATTAGAAATCACAGTGTATGAGTTATTAGAAATCAAAGTGTGATTTTCTTCTCTGTTACCATCAAGAACTATTGAATTTTGAACCCCTGAACACTCTCTTCTAGCTGCTTTCGAAATCTATTGAACAACTGAAGCAACCAGGCAGTCACCTTGAGGAAGCAGAGGAAGAGCTTCAGGGGGACCAGGCGATGCAGGAAGACAGAGCGCCCTCTAGTGGCAACAGCACTAGGAGCGACAGCAGTGCTTGTGTGGATGACACAGTGGGACAAGTTGGGGCAGTGAAGGTCAAGGAGGAACCAGTGGACAGTGATGAAGATGCTCAGATCCAGGAAATGGAATCTGGGGAGCAGGCTGCTTTTATGCAACAGGTAATAGGCAAAGATTTAGCTCCAGGATTTGTAATTAAAGTCATTATCTGAACATGAAATGCATTATGGTTTTGGTAAATGGATATGATTTCCTATCAGTTTATATTTCTGAATGATTTGAGTTCAGTGTTTAAGGGTTCGAACTAATGCAGATATATGTATGTATCTATATAGAGGTCTCTCTATATTACCGATCTCTATGTAGGTATCAGAGTTTTACTGAAAATCCACTGGTAAGGAAATACCTGTTACACTAAAATTATGATACATAATATCCAAGCAATTAATAGGCTTTAAATTTATCCCAAAGCCTGCTACACCAATTACTTCAAGGAAAATGAATTCACTGTTATTTTTAGTTTATGTGTTGAGATCAGTGACTGCTGGATAGTCTCCCAGTCTGATCAATGAAGCATTCAATTAGTTTTTGATTTTTTTTGAACATGTAGAATTCAATTTTCACATCACTGTACATATTGTATCATACTACAGTCTTGAACACTGTTAAAAGTAGTCTGCCCTTTCCTTCCTCTCTTTTTTTAGTTAAGTAGAAATGTTCTGGTTTCCATGCTAATAGTCCTAGATTATTGTGTAGGTTGCAATTGAACATATTAGTAATACAGGTGGTTTTAAATCTATAGATGCAAATTGCAGCACTACTTTAAATATTAGATTATGTCTCACATAGCACTGCTCATTTTACTTTTATTTTGTGTAATTTGATGACATGTCTGTCAAAAAAGAGCAAATGAAGCAGATGCAAATGTTGGTGAGAAGTTATGTGCAGCATTATGGTCCAATCAGATACAGTACTGTATCTACAATTGCAAAAAACACAGTAACAGGATGATATTATCTGATATCAAGATGTATCATATTTTGTATTGTCACTAGAATCTCTTAAGTATAAATTCCATAATGACACAAGCATATACCATAACATTCTGGCAAATAACAATTAGGCAAGATAGGTTTAACAAAAGAATTTACTTGTACATAATACACCTTCAGAAGGACTATGTCCTTTGATGCTATAAAATACAAACAACTTTGAAGGCAACAGAAGACACTGTTTATTCAAGTCAGTTCTTTGTCAGGTTCCTGCTGTTCTCCTACAGAAAAGTGATTCTGTAAAGCTGAACAGGAAATGCCTTGTGGAAACAGGAAGTCTAAGTGATTCATGTCCTGAGGAATGTAGGAAAAAAAAAATCTGAGGATAGTGTTTTACTCGTTCTGTTTTTAAAGGGCACTCTATGAATTGATTTATTGTCTAAGAAAATAACACCACAAGTAGGGAAATTGTTACGGAAGCTTTTCACTGAAACATTTCCTTCATATTCCCTTTTGATATGTTTACCTTGTTTTATAGGTTTACTTTTGTTAAGCTAGTTAAAGGTTCGTTGTATCAAGACCCCTTTAATATGGATAATCCAAATTGACCTAGAATCTTTGTGAGGTTTTTTTTTTTAATTAAAATATTTATATTTCCAAATCCGAGGTATTTCAAGGTGTAGTATCCTATTTCAAAGGAGATACAGCAGTTTTGCCAAATGTAGACATTGTTCAACTGTATGTTATTGGCACGTATTGTTTACATTTTGCTGTGACATTTAAAAATATTTCTTTAAAAATGTTACTGCTAAAGATACATTATCCTTTTTTAAAAAGTCTCCATTCAAATTAAATTAACATAACTAGAAGTTAGAAAGTTTAAAACTTTTCCATATAATGAAAGTCCTTCTGATAATTTGACAAATAGCTATAATAGGAACACTCCCTATAACCAACATATTTTGGTTAGTATATTCCTTCATATTAAAATGACTTTTTGTCAGTTGTTTTGCATTAAAAATATGGCATGCCTAAGATAAAATTGTATATTTTTTCCATCTCATAAATATTCATTTTCTTCAAAGTCTTTTTTCAATCTCATAAAAAAGGGATAGTGCATCTTTTAAAATACATTTTATTTGGGGAGGAACATGTGGCTGAGCAGACTTTTGTATAATATTACTTCAAAGATATGTAATCACAAACAAAAAAACTATTTTTTATAATGTCATTTGAGAGAGCTTCATCAGTACAGTTGGTGGACGTTATTTGTTTGAATTTGATAGTCTTTGAATTTAATCAAGAAACTACCTGGAACCAGTGAAAAGGAAAGCTGGACTTAAATAATCTTAGAATTAATTGATAAATGTCTCTTTTAAAATCTACTGTATTTATTATAATTTACACCCTTGAAGGTGATCTCTTGTTTTGTGTTGTAAATATATTGTTTGTATGTTTCCCTTCTTGCCTTCTGTTATAAGTCTCTTCCTTTCTCAAATAAAGTTTTTTTTAAAAGATCCCCTTTTATACACTTGGCTTTGTGTAAACTTGCCGTATTTAATCGAAGTTGAAGCTTGAACACTAGATCTCATATATCAAAATATATCACCAGTCTTTGTTGAAACGAGAAAATAAACACATTTTGAGCAGTTACATCTAATATCATTAAAAATAATAAATTCAACAATAATGACTTTTAGCTATTTACATCCAAAATTTTCAAATAGCTAACACATGTAAAATTTGTTGCATTTTTCTTTTGCCAGTGTGACCTTTTTCATAATATGTTATCATGTTTGGTATTTAAATTAAAATGTCAACTTTTAAATATAAAACTTCATCTAAATAGATATTAGTTCCTAACTTTGCTCAACTTCAAAAATTATTTTTAAAAAGTTCAACATAATCTCTTGAATATAACACTCAATAAATATTAAAATGAATACTTTTCCAAGTATCGTAATAATTATGTCTATTACAATGAGATCTTGAAGTACAAGTAGAAAGTGACAACGCATAAATTTAAAGAGAAAATAGTAATTAAATGACCTCCCCTTATATGGTAACAATTATCATAATACCAGTGTGAAGAACAGGAGCCTGATTCAAGTAAAGGAAACTCTACCATACTCTAAGTCACATTAGTGTTGCATTAGAGTACTAAGAAATCTGGAGCTGTCATTATTGACTGTTACAGAATGAATTATCATTTTATAGTACCATAAATTTGATAATACGGTCAGAATTGTAGAAATACCATTAGTGCTAATTATAATTTTCTGAAATTTGCCTTTGAACTATAAAATTACAAGGTTAACTTGGTAACAGAGATCCTAAAATAAGAGGTTAGAAAAATCACGTAAAAAATGTTTTTTAGTATGTATCTGATTTCTGAAGTGTTATATGGTGACTGTTTTAATACAAAGCATTAATCTAACATTAGAAACCTTTCCTTCAGAAAAAATAGTGTTTGCAAACTCTTGGAATAAATAATCATTAGATTTTCTTCTGGCAGTAAAAATTCACCTTCTCATTGGTGAAGGTGCTTGATGAAGTGTAGACTGTTAATTCTCATAGATCTGAGAAAGATAGTCTTTTAGAAATTGTTATATATTGTTTTGGGCTTTTTTCCAAAGGATGCTGAAAAGGAATTCAGACACTAAACATTTTTTTTGAAACCTAGTACTTAACAGATATATAGATAGGCAACATAGTATTGTTTTTAATTTGGCATTTCTTTGTGTTTTTCTTTTTCAATAATTGAATTGTACAATTTTGAATAGCTGTACTATGTATAAATTGTGGGTGTACTATTGAAGATTTACAGTGATAAATAATTTGAGGTCTACAATTTTAACTGTTTATATCAGGAACTTGGAGATACAAAAAAAGAAGTCTGGGACTCTTATTCCCTTTATTATTGATCATTCCTTCATCTCCGTTTTAAGAGGAACATAGAGAAGGCAATCAAAGAATCTGAGTAATACAAAGGACATTGAGAAGGTGACTTTTCAGTCATGCTAACAATGTATCTACTACATAGGCATAAAAATGTTTATATTCTCTTTGTTACATCTCATTTTATAATAACATCTTTGAGGCTATAAACCGAATTTAGGCAATGCAACCTTTAGGGATCATTTTAATTTACAAAAAGATGTTTACTTTTATCACAAACACAAAATGCACCAGTTACTGTTGCAAATGCTTTGTATCTGTTTGTTCATTTGGTCCTCACAATAACCTGATGAAGGAGGTACCATTATCATCCCAATGTAGAGATGAGAGCACTGCAACAGTAAAGTCAAAGTCACTGATTTAGTCACTGATTAAGTCAAAGTTAAAGTAAAGGTCACTGATTTAGGAGGTCTAGCTTTAATTAGAACCCAGGCAATTTGGCACCTGTGGCCCTGTTCTCAGCCTTTACCATTGTACTGTGTTGCTACAACGATTCTTTATATGCCCCATATGCTTGCTTCTGTCAAATTTATTCAATTTGTTATCTCTCCTCATTAGGATTTACCAAACTGTCTTGAATCAATAATCTCTTTTTAATAGTTTCTACAAATTATGAGATTGGTGATTAGTACTCTTTTTTTTTTTCTAATTTTAATGAGGATTAGGGTTAGATGAGTGTTCTAATCCTTACACACATTTTGTTCAACTATTTTTAATCGTGAAAATTCAGGTTTCTTTTTTTTTTGACCATAGCCAGTCCTAGGAAGAAGTGAAACAGAGTGGCCGCACTTGGTTAAGTTTTAGGGGGAAGGAGAAAGGATTTCAGCAGGTGCAGAGCTCTACTTTACTTCTTGCCTTCATTCCCCAGCCAATGCAAAGAAAGTCTAATTTCAAAGCCATCAGGATGCTGCCTTTTACAGACTTTTTAAACCTATCAAGGAAGCACTTGATTATTTTGGCTTAAGTAGTCTGTATAAGATGTTGTGGAAGGGAAAAATAGAGACAGTTGTCACGTTTTAGACCTCTTAAGTGGTATTCTAATGAAAGGTGCATAACAATCCTCTTGAGGGAAACAGGTTCTGACCACACCCTTAGAGGTTCTGATTCTGTTGTTCTGACTGGGAGCTCAGTAATCTACATTTACATTTTTCAAGCCCTTTGAAGAGTCTGATTCAGAAATACTGTTTTGGAGATGGCCAAGTGCCCCAAACCACTTCCTGAAATCTGGCCTGATTTTTAATAGCTTTTACCTAAGATCCTCAGATTCTCTGACTCAGTTTTCAAAATATCCTGTCTCCTATTTTTGTATGTTGTTCTCAGCTGCTTCTGCATTTTAACTCAAGTATAGGCTATTCTCACTATATTTACTAGAATTACTTCAATAGGTTCTAAAACATTCACAGTGCTGTTGTAGCCAGCCATCACTAGTATCTAATTCCCAAACACTTTCATTAACCCCAACTCAAAAAAAGTATCTTGTACCAACTAAGCAGTCACTCCCGTCCACACTCCTTCTTGCCCCTGACAACCGCTAATCTGCTTTATGTCTCTGTGGATTTGCCTGTTGTGGATATTTCATATAAATGAAGTCATGTGTTATATGCCCTTTTGTGCCTGGCTTCTTTCCTTATGTGTAAGATTTTCAGGGTTCATCCACAGCATCAGTACTTCATTCTTATGGCTGAGTAATATTCCCTTTTATGGTTATATGACTTTTTTTGTTCATTCAGCAGTTTCACACAGTTTTCACTTTTATGAATAATGCTGTTGTAAACATTCATGTTACAAGTCTTTTGTGTGAAGATATATTTTCATTTCTCCTGGGTATACATCTACGAGTGAAATTTCTGGGTCATATGGTTAACTGTTTAACTTTTTGAGTAACTGTCAAACTGTTTTCCACATAGTTGAACTATACTTTCCTGCTAGCAATGTATGAGGGTTCCAGTTCCTCCACATCTTCTCCATTTGTTATTTCCCTGTTTTATTGATGGTAGCCATCAAGTGGGTATGCATTGCTTTCATTTTTGCTTTGATTTTTATTTAATTATTGACTAATGATGTTGAGCATCTTTTCATTTGCTACTGGCCATTTCTATAACTTCTTAGGGGCAACATCTGTTCAAGTCCTTTGTCCATTTTCTAATTGGCTTGCTTTTGTTTTTGAGCTGTGCTTTCAGATATGCTTTGGGTACTAGACCTTTATCGGGTATATAAGTTGCAAATATTTTCTCCTATTCTGACAGTTGCCTTTTCATTTTCTTAAGTGTTCTCTGATGCACAAAAGTTTTGCATTTTGCTGAAGTGCAGTTTATCTCTTTTTCCTTTTGAACTGTAATCTCATCCAAGGTTATAAAGATTTATACTTATTTTGTCTTCTTAGAGTTTTATTAATATAATTTTAGCACTTAATTTTAGACCTTTGATCAATTTTGTGTCATACACATTGTTTTTAAAATAATATTCTTTCATGCATTTAAGTTATTTTTAAAGACATATGAACTTCATGATTATTGGACTCATTTTCTCATACATTATCTTCATTTTCCTTATTTCTATTAGTTGATGCTAAAGTAATTGCAGTTTTTGCAACTGCTAGTTGCAATTACTAGTGGATTTTGGTCTTGCTTTTCTGATATTTCTGTGGCTGACCCTTGTTGCTTTCTAGTTTTTGATACTGTTCCTTTTTTTCTTCTGAAAATATCACTGAAATGATACACTCCTATGTTTATTATTTCTTTTTTTCTGGTGCTCTTTAAAAATTGAATCAGTTATTTGTATTCATGAAATGAATATGATTTTAAAATCCTACCTTGGTTGCTCAGTTTTACTAAGTACACTTGAATTTTATGTTGAAGCCAGGTGTGGAGGTGTGCCTGTAGTCCTAGATACCTGGGAGGTGAGGGCAGGAGGACTGTTGAGCTCAGGAGTGTGAGGCCACACTGAGCTATGATCTAGCCTGAGTGATGGAACGAGAGCATGTCTTGAAAAAAAAAATATGTTGAACTAATATTCATGTATTCGCTTTGATCTTTATGCCTCCCCTGACAAAATTTCTGGAAAAAACCCTACATTTGCACTGTCCCAACTAGTAGCCACATGTACCTATTGAACATTTAAAATGTGGACAGCAAGAATTGAGATGCAGCCTAAGTAGAAAATGCACAGCAGATTTCAAAGATATAGTAAAAGAAGTATATTAATATCTCATTAAGGATGATGTCTATCGATTACATATTGAAATAATATTTAAAAGATATGTTAAGTCATATAACATCACTAAATTTAATCTTACCTGTTTTACTTTTTCAATGTGGCTATTCAAAAAGAATATATATGGCTTGCATTTGTGACTCACATATTTTTATTTCTATTTATGTTTCTGCTTTAGATCATCTTCATCTCATTTTATATTTTGTTAATTGACAGATCACATCAATCTGAAAATAGATGGGCTGGGGCTGTAAAACTTGAACAGATGAATATTTGCTCTTGCCAGTATCTTTCTATCACTCTTAATTAATATAGAGGCATAAAATGTTAGTGTTAGCAGATATCTGAGGCATCTTAATGGTGTAAGGGTTTAAAGATCCTTCTCCTTTACCTTAAAGATAACTTGAAGTCTACCATATGTTTTATTATCCATAGTAGTTGTAAGGGTAATTCACTTATTGCTCCATTCTCATCTCAAAGTTAGTAAATTCATCCATAATATGGGCTGGTTTTCCTGCTTTTTCTTTTTGTTGTTGTTGTTGATGAGACCAGCATTTAGACAGTAGGATAGATTATCATATAGTCATCTTTCATTATCTCCATTCCTTTGTCACTTATAGGCAGTTGGTCCTCCTGTTTCTGATTTAGGCTCATCATATTCCTTCACTTCCCCTTTGGCTTTGCTTTCTCCAGCTATTAATGAACAGTAAAACAAATCCATGCTTCTCTCATTGCAGTAGCCCCTTTTTACATCAGTGTGATATTTATCCTAATTCAATTAAGTTACTATAAAATACCAATACCATTTTCCCATTTACTGTGGTACAGCCTACAGTGATTTCTTCCTAATATTTCGACTAAATGGTTTCAGAGAGCTACAGTCCTCATAATTCAACCTTTGTACTCTGACCAGGCCATCTGTGATTTCCCCAGCCCTCCAGAACTCTCCAAGTTGAAATCAGTTCCATAGTTTACCATATAATTCTTCTTTAATCATTATCTATGTGGCATTATATCCTTTTGCTTTTTGAGGTCGATTGTGTTCATCATTGTTCCTAGAGCCACTCAGGCAACCTGTGAAATGCTTAACTGAACTTTAATGGATTTTTTTTTACATTTATCTTATTCAGATATAAATGGCAAAAGGTCATTTTCTTCCACACTATGATTTTATTCTCACTTTTGTTTTCTATGTGAAATATAGAATCATTTTTTACTTGATGGACTATTTGTTGTGTTCAGTGTCCTCATTAGTAATATATTTTCTAAACTGGCTTTAGTAAAAATAGCTGTTATTTAATTTTCATTTTCAGCCAATGGTAAATGATGGAAATTTTTTTCCTGATGAATTTATTATTTAACAGTACTCATACCATATTAATTTATATAATTTATGATTATATATGAATTTGACTATGACTTCTAATATTTAGCATACATTTTAAGATAAAAATATAAAATCTAGATTAATTTGAATGATCTCTTTATAGTATTAATTTTTTTATTTCCATGTATTCTATAGATAATTTTTGAAAGTGAGAGCTTGGAGAGAAGACAAAACGATTCATATTAATCTTTCTTAGAGAGTGAATCAGCCTCCTCTTTATGCATATTTAAAGAAAACTTACGGAATGTGGAAAGTGATGTGCTGTTTTGACTAGGTATGCATCAAAACCTATGTATGCATCAAAAACAGTAGCATTTTGCATTGTCTTTGAGATCTATGCATGAAACTGCATATGTACTCTATTGTGTTCATCATATATATATGTACATATACATGTAATCATGAAGCCCTTTCATGACTTACAGGGAAGTCCTCAGGTTGGAATGTTCTTTGGGAGATCCTGTGAGTACATTATTCCTCTTCTTCCTCTCCACTGCCTTTTCTTCTATCTCCTTTTACCTCCCATAAAAAGAATCCTGGGGCCGGGCACGGTGGCTCACACCTGTAATCCCAGCACTTTGGGAGGCCGAGGTGGGCAGATCACAAGGTCAGGAGATGGAGACCATCCTGGCCAACACGGTGAAACCCTGTCTCTATTAAAAATACAAAAAAATTAGCTGGGCATGGTGGCACATGCCTGTAGTCTCAGCTACTCAGGAGGCTGAGGCAGGAGAATTGCTTAAACCCAGGAGGCAGAGATTGCAGTGAGCCAAGATCGTGCCACTGCACTACAGCCTGGGTGACAGTGAGAGACTCTGTCTTAAAAACAAAATAAAATAAAATCCTGGATTTTTTTCAAGAAACTTTAACTAATGATTCACCAATTTTAAACCAACTCTAGGTATGAATGATTAACTTGATCATTGTTCTGAAGGATGTATTACAGAATGTGTATTGATCAGGGAGGATCTTTGGATAAGCAATGTCTGTGCCCAGGTCTCCTCTAAATTTAATTCCCACCCTATTATCAGCACCAAAGCCATCAATCAGAAAGCAAAACTCAGAAAAATGGCTTTGCTTAGTAGACTGCAGGGGGTTCTCTTGTCATATTTGCATTGGACTCTGCCTTTCTTTCTTTTTTTTATTTTTAAAGCCA